TGCAGTTAAGTTGCCAGCCAGGTCTCTGAAGACTGGGCTTGCTATGGAAAGATGCTCACCCAAACCCACCATTAGCAGGAGGCTTCAGTTCCGCCCCACGTGGGCCTTCATGGGGCTGCTCTCTACACTGCTTCCCCTCCAGACAGTGATGGAAGACCAAATTTGCTTTTAAAAATAATCTGGCTTCTACTTAGAGCTAGGAGCAAGGGGGCAACTGGAAGCCATCAATTGTTTTTGATTAGAGAGGTGCCGGTCAATCTACAATTTATCATTTAAGCCCCTAGATAGTTAGAAAGTGATTCTAATTACAGAGGGCTTTAGTCTTTAAATTGGTCACAGTTCCATAAAAGCACAAAGTAATTAAGCAAGCAAAATAATTGAACTAACGCGTCTTCGAATTCAATAGGGACAAAAAGTGAGAGCCCAGAGACGCTACATGACAGCACTTCTGTCAAAGCTCATCAGAGTTGATAAAGCTCATCATCACTTTATAAAGTTTTTCCATGGTGAGACGGTTGAAGCCAGCATAGCCCATTCTTCACTTTCACGTAGAAGTGGTCTTAGGAGTCTCTAAATATCTAAGTAAGCTGAAAACTCCAGAACTCCCAACTGAGATAATTCTTAGAGAGTTCTATTTTGAGTGTTTTTCAAACTAGATGTCTGTTTCCTTTCAACTCGATGAGATTACTCTTAACACCAATTTATGTAATCTAGCAATAAATCACAAAATCTTATAGTACAATTGTTCTTACTTGCTGGAGTCTATCCAAATGGCCCCAAATACCCAACTTGCTCCCTATTCCCAAATATTCATTTTACTTTTGGATACAGAAATTCACCCATCCACTGGAACCTGGGTTTGGAGTCCACTGATCTAAAACAGATTGTCTGAAATGGTACCCTGTTGCCCACAATCAATGTGGGTGCCAATACTGAGCCTGGCTCTGGGTTTCCCCAATCTGGACCATGGTTGGGAAGCCTGCCTCAGGCCACAGTTGGCTTAAGAAGAGAATCCAAACATCCCCCAGTGTCATCCTTTCAAGTCCCTCTTTCTTGTATCATTCAACTAGGTACAATCAGACCCCCTTCTTTTGACTTTTCTACTACTTAGGATAACCAAAAAGTACCTCCACCCCCAGTCTGCTGCCGGTCACTTCTCCCTCTGACTGGTACCCCCAGCCTTCTTTATGCACAAACAACCGCCCTGCCTTCACTTCCCGAAGCATGGCTGACACTAGGTTGTAGTATGTAACAAACTTTCCTGAGGATGACAAACAATTATTATATTGTAAAGAAAAAGTTCAAAGTAGATATTTGATTCCACTGCTCCTTAAATCTGTCTGCCTAAGTCCTTACACATGGGGGTCCCCACTGACCACCTTCCCACCTCCAGCCTCACCCCTCACCTGTGTGTAGTTCTGGCTTATAACCAGGGTATCACCCCCAACAACCCACGGGGATTCCCACTGACCCTGCCCTTGACCCTGTCTCCAGAGCCCCAGACTCTTTCTTCACAGCCTCCAACCAAGAGAAGCAAACCATCTAACCTCTTCTCCTAGAGGTACTGTCTGACCACAAGAAAGACAGCCTTTTGCATTTTTATGCAGAGCCATTTAGTTTCTCTTTGTCTCAAACTCTCCCTTCTGTAACAGGATGGGGGTAGAGCCACAAGGCTCCTGGAGACTTCCTCTAAAATTAAAATACAATCCCCCTCAAAGAAGAATTCTGCCACTACACCTGGAACAACAACCTCAAATTTTAAATAACCTGATTGTCGGTACCCACTGTAAGTGCAAACCAATTGGCCAGGACTAGACAGCCCAAAGGCAATCACAATTCCCTAGAGGACCAGAGCTGGGTTCAGACTAGCCAACCCACAGTGACTGATTATAAACAAGAAGGCTTGGACAAGCTGTGTTGAAGCCCACTTGGGCAACAGCAGGGCGGCAGGCAACAGATCCCAGAAGCCAGGCAGAGGACCAGCAACCACAGATCTGCATATACTGAAAAAATGCAGTTCAGGAACAAATCAAGGAACACCCGAGAAGAAGTGTGATTAATGCCCAATGCCCTTCTAAGTTCTTAATTGCAAGCTACCAGGAACTTCTGGTACTTTTGTCCCTTGACAATGGTGACTAGCAGATGTGAAATGGAAGGGAAAAATGAGAGTGTACCTTAAATACCGTACATGCCGTATTTTACTTAACCAAGCTACTATTGGGGGGGCATTTGATTTTTTTTCCAATTTTTAATATTGTAAGTAAGTCTATGAATTTTATTTTATTTCATTTGCTAATTTTCCCCCATAAACCTATGTCTATTTCCTTAGGATAAATCTTAAGAAGTAGAATACCTAGATAAAAGAGTGTGAATATTTTTCTGATTTTGACATATGGCATCTAGGCACAAGATGCAAGCCTAGTTTTTTTGTTTGTTTGTTTTTGTTTTGATTTATTTATTTTATTTACTTTATTTTTGGCTGTGTTGTGTCTGTTGCTGCACGCCAGCTTTCTCTAGCTGCGGTGAGCGGGGGCTACCCTTTGCTGCGGTGTGTGGGCTTCTCATGCGGTGGCCTCTCTTGTTGTGGAGCACAGGCTCTAGGTGCACAGGCTTCGGTAGTTGTGGCTCACGGGTTCTAGAGCACAGGCTCAGTAGTTGTGGTGCATGAGCTTAGTTGCTCCGCGGCATGTGGGATCTTCCTGGACCAGGGCTTGAACCTGTGTCCCCTGTATTGGCAGGCAGATTCTTAACCTCTGCACCACCAGGGAAGCCCACAAGATGCAAACCTAGTTTTGCCATCAATGTACTTTTCTTACATCTGTGAGGAATCATATGATCATCGCTCCTGTACTTCTTAGGTTTATTTATTTAGTTTACTGGTAAGTTAAACAACTCATGGCAGAGGAAGTTGAAGTAAGTTTAGCTGGGAGGTGTTGAAATGGTGGAAACTTTCAAGTTAGAACAAAGTGAAAGAGAGTGAGTTTGAGAGAAGAGAGGAGTATAAAGACAGACAGCAACCAAATTTCTCCACAATTCACTCCTGAGACAGACCTCCTCTTTAGAACAACATGATGCTCAAGGTATTGTTTCCTTTTATGTGGCTTATTTAAATTGGTTTTTCTAGCTTTCCTTTTCTTCTCGATTTCCTCAGTTGCCCTCTACTTTTAAGAGCTACTTGCTTCTACTTTAAAAGTGTGATTTTAATATTTCTCATAGCCTCTGGGTGGTCTAATTAACTGCATCTTGTTTTTTATCAATGTTTTACCAAGAATAGACATAATTCTCTGGTATAAAATCAGGAAGAAAATGAATCATTATAAGTTCATAGAATTTTAACCTTCTAGTTTGGCATGTATCCATTATGGCATTGCCAGATTGCTTTTCTAATTATCTGTCTACTGTCCTTAGTCCCCTGGGGAAGATAAGCCTTTTGTGGTGGGAGCCATAACATCTCAGTTTGGTATTCTAGAGTGCTTCGCACAGGGCAGACACATAACTAGAACTCCTGAAATATTTATTAAGTAACTGCATATTTCACCTTAATTTATACATTAATCATAGTATTTTACTAAGAACAGATGTAAATGCCAGGAGAAAATCAAGAAGACCAAAAAGATATTTTAGAAATAGATGGGCACAAGGCTAAAGACAGCTGAGCAGCTGCATGTTTATTTCCTCCTGTTCCCTTCCTCAGGGGCCAGAAGGAGGCTGTTTGTTCTTTGGCACATGGGGTGGTGTTCAGCACTTGTCAGGGGGTCCATTGGGGCCCTACTTTCAGAAGTCACTAGCACCGTGGGATTGTGTGGATGGATGCCCCAATCACCTCTCGCGCTCCATGGTGGCGCCCTGCAGATACATGCTCCCCAGGCATACCCGTTGCCCCAGAAGGCACTCCCAGGTCAGATCTAACCCTGAAGAGATGAGCAGTCCATCATTAATTGCCTCCACTGTGGGAACTGTGGGGATGGGAAGAGAGGTCAAAAACAGGTGGTTCTGCTTATAAGACTACCAGTCATATCTCTAAGTTGCTTGAATCTCTAAGTTTTAGTTGGCAAATCATGAAGCCAGCTCTTTTCCCTCCTTGCCTTCCCTGTTCCTAAGATGTTTACCCAGGTTTCTAGCCACGTGAAAATCCAAGTTATTGTTCTTCTCCACCCTAACCTGAAACTTGAATCCCAGACCCTTCTCTGCCCCCGCCATCGCCTCTCCAGCCTCCTCCCATCGCTCCAGCAAAGCTGCAGCGACACAGAAAGCAACCCATTGTTTCGCAAAGGGCAAGGCTTCCCTGGCTTGACAGCCTAGGGGTTGAAAATACAGGACAAGTCAAGTCGGTGGCCAGGTTGAAGGACTTTCAGCTGGGAACTGGTTCTGTCTTTGCACCTCTGCTCTTGCACTGAGCTTAGCGTCAGAGAGCCCCAGACACCCCAGATCTTCTATCCAATAAGCCCCCACCCCCATCCTATAGCTCACGCTTTTTTTGTTTTTTTTTTGGGGGGGGGGTACGTGGGCCTCTCACTGTTGTGGCCTCTCCCGTTGCGGAGCACAGGCTCCGGACGCGCAGGCTCAGCGGCTATGGCTCACGGGCCTAGCCACTCTGCAGCATGTGGGATCTTCCCGGACCGGGGCACAAACCCCTGTCCCCTGCATCGGCAGACGGACTCTCAACCACTGAGCCACCAGGGAAGCCCAAGCTCACGTTTTAAAATGAGTTATCTGATGTTCACAGAGACAAAGAAGTTGTATAATGACGCAATAATCAGAGCAGGGAAGGGAAGCGACCTAACATTTACTAAGTGGTACCAAGTGCTAGGCATATAGTGAAACATGAAAGGATGTTTTTAACTACGTAACAGACATGCTCTTTATCTGGGTTGTGGGTAGAAACATAAGGTCTTCTCGACTAGGATGACCACACGCACTTCACATTCAACGAGTTCACGGTGAGCCCAGCATCGTTGCCCAGAAGTCTGCTCCTCTTCCTGTGTTCCCTCTCACGGCAAATGGCAGTGCTGTTTCCCCATCCAGAACCTGCGGCGTCGGTCTCTTACCTGCCCTGTCTACCCCTCCTCATCCATTCTCTACATGAGTACCTACAGAGATCTTTGCAAAACACAGTTCTGATCACACCTCTTCCTCTCTTAAGAGAGCACTATGGCTCCCTGATGACGTCACAGTCTTTAGCGTAATATCACTTTCACCATTTGGCCCTGGCCTGCAAATCCATTCTCCCTATCATCTCTGCCCCTTGGGGGCAGCCCTGCGGCTGGAGTTTGCCCAGTTCACGGCACCGCCCCGCACCAACACCCCCAAGCCCCAGCCCATGCTGCTACCTCTGCCTTTAACCTCCATCTTCATTCTCAGCACCTTCGCCTGGCTGACTCACAGAAGTTTTCATAAGCAGCTCAGGTATCTACTCCTCCAGCAAGTCTCCACCAACAGAAAGAGCAGGCAGTGGTCCTCGAGTGTAATTTTAAAGTTTCCAGTAGCCATATTGTAAAGAAGTAAGAAGAAACTGCCGGGGCTTCCCTGGTGGCGTAGTGGTTGAGAGTCCGCCTTCCAATGCAGGGAACACGGGTTCGTGCCCCGGTCTGGGAAGATTCCACGTACCGCGGAGCGGCTGGGCCCGTGAGCCATGGCTGCTGAGCCTGCGCGTCCGGAGCCTGTGCCCCACAACGGGAGAGGCCACAACAGTAATGAGGCCCATGTACCGCAAAAAAAAAAGAAAAAAAAGAAGAAACTGATGAAATGAATTTTAATCATATATTTTATTTAACCAATATACCCCAAATATTATCAATTTCAGCATGTAATTAATATTTTAAAATTATTAATGAAATGCTTTATATTCCTTTGTTTTCCTACTAAGTCTTCAAAACCCAGTGTTTATTCTCCTCTGATGACACGTCTCAGTTTGGACTAGTCACATGTAGCGCTCCATCACCAGATGTGGAGAGTAGCTACCACATTGGACATGACAGCACTACAGCTATCTTAGGAATCACTTAGGAATCACCTAGAGAGCTTAATGGAAACCTAGAACCCTGAACTAAGCTTCCAAATGTTCTGGTTCTGAGGAGGGTCTAATTCTGGATGTGTGGGATGGAGAACCAGAAATGTTCATTCTCAGCAATACAGGTTTCTGATGTATGTGTTCCTCAGGAAATGAGGGCTTAAGAGCTAGATGCATCGATTTTGGAGTTAGACCTACAGGGGTTTGTGTACAGACTAACTAAGTTACAGCTGTGTGACTTGGGGACTTCACCTTTCTGGGTCTTGGTCTCCTCACCTGCAGAAAGAAACTCACGATACATACCTAGAGACCAGTGAGTATTAAGTAGACACTGTATTTAAAACATTCGGCTCAACACCTGGCACGTGTCTACCAGTGCCAGCTCCTACCTGTCTGAATGCACCCCATGCCCAGGCGTGCCCACATGGTGGGCGAGACGTCCCTCCCCTGCTCCCCCTCTGAGCCTCTGCATGCCTCCACCACAGCCCACCACCCAAGCACACATTATCTGCTTGCTACTCTGTGTCCTCCACTGGACTGAGGACAGAAACTGGCTATCGCTCATTTCCACATCCCTCTGCCTCACACATGTGTTCAGTACACATCTTTTTTTTTTTTTTAAGTTATGGGAAGGACTTGTGACTTATTTGTTGCATGACCTTCGTCAGTTAATTTTAATTAATTTATTTTTTTATCTTTGCTGTGTTGCGTCTTTGTTTCTGTTCGAGGGCTTTCTCTAGTTGTGGCAAGCAGGGGCCACTCTTCATTGCGGTGCACAAGCCTCTCACTATGGCGGCCTCTCTTGTTGTGGAGCACAGGCTCCAGACACGCAGGCTCAGTAGTTGTGGCTCACGGGCCTAGTTGCTCCGCGGCATGTGGGATCCTCCCAGACCAGGGCTTGAACCAGTGTCCCCTGCATTAACAGGCAGATTCTCAACCACTGCACCACCAGGGAAGGCCAGTACACATCATTTTTTAGGAACTGAACTTAATTTAACCAACTGCGTTTCCTATAGTGGAGTATAAAGTCTTTGCGTAAAAGTACCTCCAGTTCTCATGTAGAAAGGAAGTGTGTGAATACAGAGTGACTGAAGCATTGTTCTAACACTCTTCCCTTTAAAGTCTGTCACAGAAAGCTTTGCCAGAGTGATCCATGGCTTGAAAGTGGGACACCTGACAGATCGTGTTATCCAGAGGAGCAAGAGGATGATTCTGGATACCCTGGGTGTTGGGTTCCTGGGAACCAGTACAGAAGTGTTCCAAAAAGCCAGGGAATACAGTAAAGTAAGAAGCTCAATGTCTACTTTGGAGCTAAAACCAAGTGTGCACATGCGCCTTTTTGTGAGGTGTACCCAGAAGCGCGCCCAGGGACGTGCGTTTGTGTTCTACTGCCCTACTCTTTATTTTAGAGATAGTGCTTGGTGTATATAGCATTGTTGTATATAGTTTTTTGCTTTTCTATGCTTTATTACCTGAGTCTTAATATTCACCCACATCCTTTACTAAGTCACTATCTTAAGACCAGTCTTAATCTTAAGGCTAGCAAAATCTCAAAGTTGATTACTAGTCTGACTGAAAGCACATTTTTACCTGAGAGTCTTAGCAGCCATAGCCCCAGCCCATTTGTTCATGCAAAGACCTCAAGATTCTCTGGAGAGAAGCCTGGGCCAGCACCCTGAGCAGAGAGTAGGTGATTACATGAGAGATGTAGCATCCACTCTCCAAAGAATATGCTTGGTCTATAGACGATGAGTCCACCTTTCCTAGTATTTATCCTCAGGGAGTAAATAAGAGTAAATTCAGACTTCATTCCTTGTCGCACTTATGGATCACAGTCTGGGACTGAGCAACAGCTTCTCCTCTCCCTTCCGCAGAAAAAGTTATATATTCTTCTACGAGGAAGAAAGAAATCCAATGACTAGGGCTTCAGTCTAGCACAAAGGGCTCAGTAAGAAGTATTAAAGTAATGCTTCCAAACATGAACAACTCTTGAAATGGTGACTTGGCATATGTTGGGTCCACACTCTGTATCACTGATTGATACTCTTTTGTTTCAGATCTATAGTTCCAACGTATCCAGCACTGTTTGGGGCCAGCCAGACTTCAGGCTACCACCCACATATGCTGCTTTCGTTAACGGTGTGGCTGTAAGGAGATTTCCATGTCTTTGTAACTGTTCAACAATCAGAACAATTTCAGGGCCAGAAAACATCTCAGAAATTGCCCAGTTTCCGTCTCTTACGGATGAGATCACTGAAGTTCAGAGAGGTGACGTGGCCTGCCCTCTCTCCTTGTAGTAATTTCAGTTTTCACGTTTTTACAGTGAATTGATGCTTCTCAAACAAATTGTGAAGTAGAGGAAATAAGATGGAAGAGTATAGATAAAAAGGCCCCTAAGGTATCTCAACTCTAAACTAAATATCCAGACTCAATTCCTTGTCATTTCTTTCTGTGGTGGGCAGAACCAGCTTCTAACCAGCCTTTCATTCATTCATTCATTCAATCATTCAACAGATATTTATTGAGAAAGAAACAATGGCCATAAGGTGTCTACATTTTCTGAACCGAAAATCAGCGCTTCTCATCTGACAATTTTTATGTTTTTCTGTGTGTCACGGGCAGTCTAAAAGATATAATTTGGACATGAATCTGTTGGGATTTCTGAGATATTTTTATGGTTTATGGGACAGTAGTTCAGAATATTGAAAGTCAAACCTAATGGTGCATCCAGAAGTAAACGTCCAGTAAGTAAGCAGTGGGAAAGGCACCAGCCACAACTAGTAGACAAAAATCTATTTTTAAATGAACTTCTGGTTATTACTATTTCGTATAAAGAAAAACCAAATGATTTTAAAATATAGCTTAACAGTTAAACTGGGTTCAAGAGTTCTTGCAACTTCTCCATAAGTTTGAAATTATTTATAATAAAAGGGTTCAAAAAATATGGCCTGATGTGGAATAAATGACATTAAACTTTTCATGTGACTTGTTTGAAAGGTGGAAGAGGGAGGCAGGGAGGAACAGCCACCTAATTCTACAGCTTTGTTTGTAAGGTAGATAAAGATCTTTCCAAGGGCTGTGGCACCTGAGTAAGAGCCAAGCTCCCTGCAGTTCACTAGCTGCTCCCCAAGGTCGCACCTCATCTGGACAGAGGACAGCCTGTCTAGTGCCAAGTCATGTGATTAAGAATCACAGCCAGGGCTTCCCTGGTGGCACAGTGGTTGAGAGTCCGCCTGCCAATGCAGGGGATGCAGGTTCGTGCCCCGGTCCGGGAGGATCCCACATGCCGCAGAGCGGCTGGGCCCATGAGCCATGGCCGCTGAGCCTGCGTGTCCGGAGCCTGTGCTCCGCAATGGGAGAGGCCACAACAGTGAGAGGCCCGCGTACCGCAAAAAAAAAAAAAAAAGAATCACAGCCAGTTCATAGGTTTAATTTTCAGAGAATCAGATCTAAAAATCTCACATCAAACAAGGTTATTATTGAACTAAACCCTGACTGGTCCAAAAGTCATTGCATTCAGGGAAATACATTTGGTTTTGGTTGTTGTTTATGTGTCTGTTCACATAGGTTCACTCAATGGATTTTGATGACATGTGGCACCCTGCCACCCACCCTTCTGGAGCCGTCCTTCCTGTCCTCATGGCTTTATCAGAAGCCCTGCCTCCAAGTCCAAAGTGTTCTGGCCTTGACCTGCTGCTGGCTTTCAACGTTGGTATTGAAGTGCAAGGCCGATTAATGCATTTCTCCAAGGAAGCCAAGGACATACCAAAGAGGTATGGAGAAACTGTGCCCCATCGTGAGGCGGCCACATTCCCCTTCATCTGTTAGTCATTATCTCTGTAGATCTTTCTGACATAGAGGTTGGCTCAGTTGAAGATGTTGACGTTAGTGCTGGCATATAAGTCAACTCAACCAGTCACATAACAAACTGTACATCCATATACAAAGGTGTGACCTCAGAAGTACTAGTGAAAAGTCTCATCTGGGTTTAGAGAGCCTATCAAGCAACGAGGACCATGCACTAAATTGGAGCCTCTCACCCCAGGATGATCATGTCATTCTGGCCTCTGTGGGTACTCTGAATATCCCTCATCTCATCTCAAAGCAGAGTCTACTTTGGTATTTGCTAGGGTCCTTCAGACTAATGGGAACATTCAGAATATCTTAAACCCGACTGCTCAATCCATAGATCAAAAATGGTCAAACGCTGACTGTATCATATGGTTCAATCTAATATTTATTTTGCCCCTTGGTCCAGCCTGCTGGGGGAGGAATAAATCGGAATACTGAGTGAACTTCCACGGTTTCTACAAGGCCTTCAACTGTTACAGTTACTTACATAGGCTTTCAGCACTCAACAACTTTTGCCTTTTGGCAATAATTGCAAAAGTACCATTTATAAATAATTTACTATATCAGGCGCTGTTGTAATCATGCGAATTCGTTCAAAACTCACAAAACCCTATGAAGTAGATACTATTATTATGACCATTTTATATAAGAGAAAACAGATACAGAGAAGTCGAATAACTTTTCCAAAACACACAGCTAATAAGAGGAAGAGCTGAGATTTGAACCTAGGCATTAGGGCTGCTCCATTAGCTAAGCTCCTGACCATTGTGCTATACTGCCCCCTGGGGGCTGAGGTTTGTAAGTCTCCAACTCTTGTGTTTTTTGTTTTTCAGATTCCATCCCCCCTCAGTGGTGGGAACTTTGGGTAGTGCTGCTGCAGCGTCTAAGTTTTTGGGGCTCAGCATGACAGAGTGCCAAGAGGCCCTGGCTATTGCTGTTTCTCATGCTGGGGCACCCATGGCGAATGCCGCCACTCAGACCAAGCCTCTTCATGTCGGCAATGCCGCCAGGCATGGGCTAGAAGCTGCTTTTCTGGCAATGCTGGGTCTCCAGGGAAACAAACAGGTCTTGGACATGGAGTCAGGGTTTGGGGCCTTCTATGCCAACTATGCCCCCAAAATCCTTCCAGACGTAGATTCACACACTTGGCTGCTGGACCAGCAGGATGTGGCCTTCAAGCTTTTCCCTGCCCATTTGGCCACGCACTGGGTGGCAGACGCGGCTGCATCTGTGAGAAAACAGCTTGTAAGAGACAGAGCCATACTTCCCACTGACCACATGGAGAGAATTGTGCTTAGAATTCCAGATGTCCAGTATGTGAATAGGCCCTTCCCAGACTCGGAGCATGAGGCCCGACACTCCTTCCAGTATGTGGCCTGCGCCATGCTGCTAGATGGTGCCATCACTGTCTCATCATTCCGCAAACACCAGGTCAACAGGCCACGGGTTAGAGAGTTGCTTGGTAAGGTAGAGCTGGAGCACCCTCAGGACAACCTACCAAATTTCAACACCCTCTACAGCGAGATAAGTGTTGCCCTCAAGGATGGATCCATCTTCACAGAGCGCTCTGATACCTTCTACGGTCACTGGAGGAAGCCTCTGAGCCAGAAAGACCTACAGGAAAAGTTCAGAGCCAATGCCTGCAGGATGCTGTCCTGCCACACTGTAGAAAGGCTTATAGAGATAGTAGAAAACCTAGAAGACCTGGAAGACTGCTCTGTGTTAACCACGCTTCTGAAAGAACCGTCTCCACCAGAGATAGTTTCAAAATCTCTCTAGCGTTTAACAGTTCCATCATGCAATCCCTCCTGAGGCTTAACAACATCTAAATGACTTTATATTGGGGAAAATTCAATGCTTTGCTTTACAGAGCAAAGGTCTTTCTTGGTCTGCCTGGGAATAAATGCAGCATGCTGAAGAGAGTCCAGACACAGAACTGGATATACATGGAAGAAGTCTTGTCCTGTAAATTTTGCAAGACAGTTCCAGTTACCTATAGCAAGATAATGGTGCAAGAAACACAGAGAAATTTATTTTATAAGCATTCATAAGGCTGAAATTCAGGTCACCTGTGATTTGCTTAATCTTTTCAGAGAAGTTATTTATGAATTTCATGAGCCTCAAGCCTTGAGAGGGATTTGAACTTCTGCATACAACTTGCTGACAGAAGAAGGGCTCTGGTCTGTTGTGCCACCAATGGACTCCTTACACTATGGCTTATCAGAAGCCCTTCACAATGGAGGGGATGCCATTGGGTTTAAAATAAGGTCTTCATGGGTTCAAATCCTGCCTCTGCCATTGACTAGATGTGACCCTGGCCATGGTTCTGGATAACCCTCTACTTAAGTTTCTCTATCTTTAAAGCATAAGTTAAAAACAGTCTAAAAAATAAAACACTTTGGCTCTAGAAGTCATGCTCTTAACCACTACAATATATCACCTTTCATTACAAAAAACTTTTTGAGACAAATATCATGGACGTAGAGTCTGAGATGCAATAAAGAATGACAGCCAAAACATAGTATATATGTGGGTAGTCAGATATATATTAAACTGTATAAAGTAATAAAAATGTCTTGTGGGGTTAAAAACTGCAACATTAGCATTATATACATATTATATATATATATATATATATATATATATATATAGAGGCAGGGAGGTATTATAGTTAATGTATTCTAAATTCCTCATGTTGTTCAAGAAAAGGGCAACACTATTAACTCTAGACTTTGATTTGTAAGTATGTATGTTGACATTTCTAGGGTGACTTCTATAAAACAGCAGTGGAACGTATCACTTCAGGTTAATAGAGAGAGAAATATGGAATTAGGAAAAAAAAATAATCCAAAGAAAGGTAAGAAAGGAGGGGGACAAGAAATATAGAAAAGGCAGAACAGACAGAAAGCACAATATGAAATGATTGGAGGGACTTCCCTGGTTGCTCAGTGGTTAAGAATCCACCTGCCAATGCAGGGGACATGGGTTCAGTCCCTGGTCGGGGAAGATCCCACATGCCGCAGAACAACTAAGCCCGTGCACTGCGGCTGCTGAGCCTGTGCTCTAGAGCCTGCGAGCCACGACTACTGAGCCTGCGTGTCACAACTACTGAGGCCCACGCGCCTAGAGCCCGTGCTCCACAAGAGAAGCCACTGCAATGAGAAGCCTGTGCACTGCAATGAAGAGTGGTCCCCACTTGCCACAACTAGAGGGAGCCCGCGCGCAGCAACAAAGACCCAACGCAGCCAAAAAATAATAAATAAATTAAATAAATGAATTTATTTAAAAATAAATTTTAAAAATGACAGGAAAAATCCAAATATATGTATAATTATGAAGAGAGTAAATGAACTAAATGCTCCAGTTAAAAAATACAAAGACTATGAACACATTTTAAAATGTTTGTTTTATTAACACCTACTGTACATATCATTAATTCATCCATTTTACATTTTATGAGTTTTAGTAAATGTATAGAGTTGTGCAAATATCACTGAAATCCAGTTTTAGAATACTTCTATCATTTCCAAACATTCCTCAGGCCTGTTTGCAATCAATTCCCAATCTCCAGCCCTCAGCAGCCAATGATCTGCTTTCTATCTCTATAGTTTTGTCTTTTCCAACATTTCAGATAAATGGAATCATACAATATATAGTCTTATGTGTCTGGCTCTTTCACTTAGCATAATAGTTTTAAGATTTTTCCACATATGTATCAGTACTTTATTCCCTTTCATTGCCAAGTAGCATTCCATTGTATGGATATACCACTTTGTTTACCCATTAATTAGTTAAAGAGCAGCTGGATTGTTTCCAGTTTGGGGCTATTATGAATAATGCTTCTATGAACATACACAAACATGTCTTTCCATGGATGTATCTTTCCATTTCTCTCGGGTTGATTCTTAGGAATGGGAATGCTGAGTCATTTGGTAAGTACATGTTTAACTTTAGTAAAACCTGTTTTCTATAAAGTAGCTCTATCATGTTACATTTCCACCAGCAATGTACAATGGCTCCAGTTTCTCCTTATCCTCACCAACCTTTGGAATTATCAGTCTTTATAATTTTAGCCAGTCAAGTGTGTGTATAATGGTATCTCATTGTGGTTTTAATTGGCATTTCCCTAATGACTAACTCTTGCCCATTTTTGCCTATTATTATAATTAGGTTGTCTTCTTATTGAGTTGTATGAGTTCATTTTATATTCTGGCCATAAGTTCTTGAACAGATACCTCTTTTGCAAATATTTTCTCCCAGTCTGTGGCTTGTCTTACTGTGATTTTAATGGTCTCTTTTTTTTTTTTGCGGTATGCGGGCCTCTCACTGTTGTGGCCTCTCCCGTTGTGGAGCACAGGCTCTGGACGCTCAGGCTCAGCGGTCATGGTTCACGGGCCCAGCCATTCTGCGGCATGTGGGATCTTCCCGGACTGTGGCACGAACCCGTGTCCCCTGACTTGGCAGGCAGACTCTCAACCACTGCGCCACCAGGGAAGCCCTAATGGTCTCTTTTGAAGAACAGAAGTTTTAAATTTTGTTCAAGTCCATTTTGCTATTTTGTAAAAAAAATTTTGTTCCTACTTCTGGTGTTATTAGAAGGCCTTTTTTTTTTTTTTTTGGTCATGCCACACAGCATGTGGGATATTAGTCTCCCGACCAGGGATCGAACCTGCACCTGCTGTATTGGAAGATTGGAGTCTTAACCACTGGACAACCAGGGAAGTCCTTAGAAGGCATTTTTAAAATCCAGTTATATACTTTATTCAAGACACACAAGGATGTAGAAAAGTTGAAAGTAAAAAATATAGGGGAAATGTGGATGGAATATTAACAAAAGAAAGCTAGAATAAATAAATGTTAATATTAAGCAAAAAAGAATTATTAGAAAAGAGATAATAATGATAAATTCAAGTCACTAGGTAACTAAAATAATTCTAAACTTCCATGCATCTAAATACTATTAAACTGCAAGGAGAAACAGATAAATCCAACACTATACTGAGAGAATTTTAACATTTCTCTCTTAGTAATTTATATTTCAAGGAAACCAAAAACAAATAGACTATATAAGATTTAAACACAATCAACATGTCTTATCTAATGGACATATAAAGGACTCTGTATTCAAAAACTGGAGAATTCACAATATTTTAAAAATCTCACAGAACATTTACAAAAATTGACCATATACTTAGGCATAAAGCAAGTCTCAACTTTTCAAAGCACTGGATCATCCAGATCATTTTCTTTAATCACAATGTAATCAAGTTAAAAATCAAAATTAAAAAGACAATTAGAAAAGCCTGAAGTGTTTAGTAATAAGCATTCCCCTAAATAACTCTTGGGTCACAAAAGAAATTACAGAGAAAATTATAAAACATTTAGAACTAACCAATAACAAAAATACCACATATCAAAATACATAGAATGTAGCAGAAGCACTACTTAGAAATGGGTAGAATTTTTTATTGCTGGCTCTGTATTACATGGATTATATTGTTCCATAGGACACATCATGGTAACACTTATAAATTTGAACAAGGTTGATAAAAGAGGAGATAGAAGAGGTGGTTTCTACTGTGACCTTGAGATTAAATTTAATTATCCTATCTTGATAAATCTGAGAAGTTTCTAGGGTCAAGATCTGAGGGCCATTAATAATATCCTTAGATAACCCCTGTTATAAACAAGACAACAAACCCCAAATGGAGTTATGCTAAGCCCATATCCACCAAATCAAGACTAACTGAATTACACTTTTGGCTCTTCCAAAAATAGAATATTGAACCAGCAAATCAGGAATCTCTGATCAGCACTAGTTAGGTAATCTGCCTGATAGACCCCTGCCATCCCCTAAGGAAAGGAGCCTTGCAATAACCAATTTGTTGTTTGTTTGTTTCCTTGTTTTGCCTAGTGTAACCTCCTTGTTTCCACTCCCTTCTGCCAATAAAAGTCTTTCATTTTGCACAGCTCTTTAGATCCCCTTTCTACCTGCTAGATTGGGTACTGCATGATTCAAATCGATTTGTGCTCAACTAAACTCTTAAAAAAAATATCTTAATATGACTCAGTTTAACTTGTAACACCCCCAAAGCTTGCTTCGGACCCACAGCAGGTGTTGGGGAAGACGGTATCTCCTGAGGGGGACAACAGCACTCAAGGTGACCTTGATATTGGCTATTATGCCCACTGAGTTAACTGAAGGCAGGAGAAAATATGGGGGGATATGGGTCTGTAGAGAGAGCTCAAGGGTCCTCTTCACTGACAACCCTGCACACCATCCACCCCCATCTTACCACGTACAAATGACAGAGGGGAGAGAGAAAGAGAGAGATTGGCTCCCCACATTCTTTTCTAGATGATTCCATTCAAAACGCTAGGGCCACAGTGCTGTTGGAGACTTTGGATGGAATGAGAGAGTTAAAGCTGAGCGAGCGTCTCTTCCTTCCATGAGGTTGGGGAAGAAGGACAGCTTGTGAGCCATTCTATCCTGAGAAAGCCCAAGATGGGACTCCGGCAGCTCTGATCTGATGTCTAGGCATTGTGGCAAATGCTTGTTTCTTCCCTTCCTTTCCCTTGGGTACAGCAATAAAGGATGCAGCTCAGCCCACTGTTAGTGTGATAGGCCCTGTGTGTAGGCAAATGAGTCCTCCACATGGATCAGGCCAGACGGCCAGGGAGAAAATCCACCATGAGACTGAGACCAAGGCTCTAGCTCACAGAGAGAGGTTTATTCCAGCTCCCTCTCTGTATTTCTGCATCCTCAGCACATACTCATG